GAAGAAGTTAGCTTTTTTTAAAGTCTGATTTTGTTGGTGTACATTGAGACTACAAGAGCAGTCTCTTGCAAGTCCTGTGCTGCGTTCTTCCAGTTTCCTTCACAGATTTGCATAAATGCAAGGGGTTTTTTGGCCTCTTTGTGACCAGCTCTGAAGAGAGGAAGGTTACATTTGGGAGTATCACTAAAGGAGCATTTCAGCTTAAACTGGTTGTGTGATGAGTTTCCTGATTTTCCTCTAGTTATCTGTTAACTTCTGGCTCTGAGTTTTCATAGTTAGTAACTTGACTGAGTTTTATGAACAGAAGAGATTATTGGGAATTGACTCAACTTTGTCCCTAATACAGATCGTGGAATAACCCTGCAACATCGGTTTTCTATGCAACGCAGTGTTTTTCTGAAGATAGTGTGTTTTGGTAGTCTTTGAAATGGGAAGTTGTGGATAGAATACCAACATTGATTAACTTTTTTAACAAGTTTTATTATGAAAATATTTTGTACAGTTATGATAAAGAGTTGGGAAAAAGTGTAATTCGTTCTGTAACATTTAAACATCAAAGGGAGGAAAAAATGTTTTGCAGCATAGCCACAATGAGGCCTAAGAGGCTGTCAGTAAGAAATTGGTAAGAATTGGAAACAATCACAAATACTAAACTTGGCAGCTGTTTGCTGAGAGATGTAGCTTTTTGGTTTTGAAAACGTTTTCTTATTGCTCTGTTTGAAAGCAAGAGAAATTAGAAATATGGAGGGACAACAGTGAGACAGCGTGTAGGGTGGTGTCATTGTGAGTTAAGTCACATAGCACAAATGTTACTGTAGGCTGGCTTGTTCTAAGGGCCTGCTAGGTATTTACAAAGCTAGGGGGCCTCAGCTGTACATTTTGCATATGCTAATACCTTTTAAAGGTATTTACAATACCTTTGAATGCCCTGAACCGGTATTTGTCAGTAAAATCAGCAATATTCCATTCTGTCTGTAAGGAAAATGCTTGTTTAATTAAGCAGCTGGGTGTTAAATAGAGCTTGGTCTCATAAGCAGTAGCAGATGAAGAGTTTAATTATTAACAGTAATTTTTTTTTAAACTTACCTTAATTTGAAAGGGAATTTTAGCTCTTTTTCTATGCCTAAGTGGTCTTCCCAGTAGCTTTTCATATCTTACTCTGATTGCAGCTCTGGTTATCTTTGTGGCATCAAGGCCTGTTACGTATATGGGCTCTGATTCCCTTCTTACCGTGCTAAGCTGTCAAATCACCCTGTGTTATTTCCTACTATGTGACTGGTGCAAAGCTCTTTTTAATAAATAAAATTAAATGACAGTTTGAAGTCTTAATCTGACAGACTTACATAGTAGAGTGCAAAAACCTGAAGGCTCTTAATCCTGCTTGTGCAGTGACTTCCTTCTAGTTGAACACAGAGGTCTGCTCTGTCTCTGAAAACTCGCTTCCGTTCTTCCAAATCAATTTCTTTCATCTATTGCAGTGTGCTGCTTTTTCCCCCTCTTCTTGAGGAGGAAACTGTTACACTCTTGCTTCCTCTATTTTACTCTTCTCACTGCAGTAGAAATTTAAGGAATCGAACAGCTTCCTGATATCTTGTCTGTTCACTACCATTCTTTTATCAGATACCACTGCTTTACCCTCGCTTGAATTTTGTCGGGTTTGTTGTTTGGCGTGATGTGATAGACGAAGCTTTCAGGGAAAAGGTTAGGTAGAAGTGAAATTTGTTGTCTTCATTTTGCGTTGCACTCATGTCATTAACACTGAATTGTAGTAGACTCTGGGTGGCCAACTCTGAACACTTAGGATGGCAATCTTTATCATCAGAAAGGAGGATGTGAAAGAAGGGAACAGAACTGTATTATGTCTGTTGCTTCTCAGACTGTAGTTTTTTGATGGCTTAAATTGCTGCTGCTGCTTTATCATTTTCAGCTCAAAGTATTGAATGCTACCCCCTCTCTAGCATTTCTCATTTGGAAAAAGAATGCAAATGGCAAGGCCAGCTGCAAAAGAAAGG